TAATTTTTTGTTTTTTTCATTCTTCATTGGTATTTATTTGTGCTCATATGATTGCATTGAGTATACTATATAGTATATTATAGTAAATAGTTTAAAGTATTCACTATCTTATAAATGTGTCGTTTCTCTTACTCATGGTTAATATTTTGAGGCAATAAATCTTAATTTATCTTCTATAATAATGAATAACTACTATAGTAATATATCAAATATCTGATAATATATATATCTGTAGGATTCAAAAGTTCAATTTTACCAGTCCTGCAGGAAGTTACAAATAATACCTCAGACTTGGCCACTCCAGCTCAACGACTCGTAATTTTGAAAAACTTGTTAACTTATATTAAGCACACAATCGTTAGAGAACTTAACCAAACTAAATAGTTTCTATTAATTATTGTTTAAAGCATGTAGTTTTCAGATGCCTGTATCATAAGCACAGTCAAATTGTCTAGGTTTAAGGTTGATATGTAATATTAATTTAGTTCTTGACTATTGAGTTTTGAAAAAACTCTTTTGGTTGAACTGTTTGAACTTAGTATAGTTAAATAAACTTTAAGTGCAATATATAATTTGGGAAGACATCAATCAACTAATTTTCATTAAACCATTTTCAAAGATCAAGTATACTAAAATAAATGGCCTGCATGACTACATAAAAATAATACTCTTGAAACTGTGTTATTAAATTTTCTATGTAAATATCATATAGGTACCTATATGTTAATACAGTCGAACCTCGATAAGTCGAAAACCTTGATAAGTCGAAAAAAATTCCATCCCCTTGCAAAAACCTCGATTACTCGAAAAAAAAACTATAGATAACTCGAACATTCTGTGCTCCGAATATGACGGATAACGACAGATAATTTTATAAACATTTATCTAATCGGCTTGTCCGTTCCGATAATTTTATCTTATCTTCATTGTTTCAATGAAGCAAGCAACAGCAGCCCTCATATTGCCAAGGACATTCACCGAACAATTGAGTAATGTGGACGATAAAGTGTACTCTGTTTTAAATGTAATAGAAAATACAATTGATAATAGTAAATCTCAAATTTTAAGTCAAAGTAAAATAATAAATTATCTTTTATAAAGTTGCAACACAATATGTTTTATTATATTTTTTTGTAATAATTTTTTTATTTAAATAATCTGTATAATCACATTTTTTTACATTGTATATACATATATACTAAGTACATAATAATTAAAAACTTTAATACATACATACATTTTTAAAACTCTTTAAGTCGAATTTTTTTTCTAAAACCTTGATAACTCGAAAACCTTAGTAAGTCGAAAAAATTGCATTTCCCTTGAATTTCGACTTATCGAGGTTCCACTGTATTATAATTATAAGTATCTTCCTATACTTTAGTCGATATCCTATTCTTCATAAGTTGTGTCAACAATTGGAACACAACTTTATCTGTAACAAAAAAAAAAATTGTCTAAAACGGACTTGTAAAGTTGTAAGGGCCATATGAAGAGCTTGGAGGGGCTTTTTTATTACAGTCGACAAACATTTTAAATACAATTTCTAATATTATTAGAATTATTATTTTTTTTTTATAAGTATTATTAAAGTTAGATTTTTGTCACCAATTATCAAATTTAAATTTAAAAAGGTGGGTAAGTGGATGTCACTCTGCTGTACATTAGGTTACAAGTGGGTCACTGTATAATGGATAGTATTAAATTTGAATCCAATGATACAATATCATTGTATAAGAAATACGATTCTGAGCGAAGACGGTATGTCAGTCTAGGTTTAAGACATATTATATACATATCTATGGTATTAAAAAAAAATTGACCTATAATAAATTCCAAGTTAATCATATCACAATACACATTAGGTACTTATAACACGTTATACCTCAATAAAAAACCCTGATACTATCATAGATATATAATATAGTGTACTTTAGAAGTTTCAAGTACCCACGAATAGTATTATACACTCACAACAAAATAACTAAAATAGGTATGCTAGGTTTTTTAATATGTAATTTCTTCCCAAATTTGAACTTAAAATGTCTGTAAAAAATAACTGTGCTAATATATTTTTTAGATTTTTTGGCTACAGTATGAACTATTTATGAGAATCTTTTTTTTAAATTTTCAATCCTTAGCTATAAAAACTGAACATTTTATAATTTATTAATTACGATGATTGATAATTTTCGAGATTTTGATAAATTTTGTCAAAATGCGATCTTTAAATGCATATAAAAAAAAATTGTGCCTATGTATTTTTAATATTTTTCAATTGCTATTGTAACAATATGTCAGGAGCCTTGTATTAAATTTTTACACTTTTTGGCCCAACAGATAAAACTTTATTGAAATTCATAGAAAAAAAAACTAAAAAAATTGAAAAATGAAAATGTCCGTAAACAGCTCAAAAAGAGTCAAAATATTTTCAAAATCGTATGGTGTGTAGGAAATGCTAATATAAACATTCAGTGAAATTTTCATGTATCTACAGTTATTCGTTTTTGAATTACAACAAAATAAGGAAATCGCTACATGAGAAATCGAGTGAATAACCAATGTTGTAAAAATTTGAATTTCAAACGCTCATAAAAATTTAATTTAACTGTCCAGTAGAGATTTTTTTATTGATACAGGTAGACAAACTTATGAGTAATCTTATATTACATTTTCAAATCTTAGATTTAAAAGGAAAAATTTTTACGAATTCTTAACTCAAAATAATTTGCTAATTTTCGTGATTTTTCCATATTTTGTCAATTTTTGAACTTTAAATGCTTATAAAAAAAAATTGTGACTAAGGATTTTTAATATTTTTCATCTGCCTTTGAAACAACATATTAGGAGCCTTCTATTAAATTTTCAAGCTTTCGCAACCAACAAATAAAATTTTATTGATATTTCTAGAAAAAAAACTAAAAAAAAATGAAAAATGAAAATGTCCCTAAACTGTTCAAAATAAATCAAAATATTTTGAAAATGTTATCGTGTATAGAAGATGCAAATATAAACAACCAGTGAAAATTGCATGTACCTACGGTCATTTGTTTTAAAGTTACACCAAAAACCAAATTCAATTTTCTGAAAAATCGATTTTGCGTAAAAATTCCCGTTTTTCCTTAATTTTTCTTTTGTTTTTCTTGGCGCTTTTGAAAATGTCTGGGAATTTTAAATTTTGACCTCCCCAATACAAAAAACGATATTCACTTTCGAATCGAACAAGATACTGAAGTTGTTAATCGAAGCATTATTTCGACTACTTATTATGTACACAGACACAAAAATTTAAAAATTTAAAAAAATATATATAAAAACACACATCATTGTAAAATCAATACATTCATCGTTCCACTCAGAATCTAAAATGATTTTATAGTTAAAAATATATAAGATATTCAACGTTTATAGCTAAGGATTGAAAACTTACAACAAGGTTCCACGTAAGTATTTTATTCTGTAACCAAAAAATCTCAAAAATATAAAACAATTTTTTAGTTATTTTTTTTTTTTAATTTGGAGGAAATTACATATTAAATAACCAAGATTAATGATTTTAGTTTTATAACATTAATTCAACTTATACCGGATACTGTATTTATAATTAGCAATAACAATAATATAAATAATATAAAATATCAACACTGACAAACAGTCACCGCTCAGAATCGTTTTTCATATATCATTATATTATTGAATTCAAATTTAATACCATCCATTATGCAGTGACCCACTTGAAACCTACTGCACAGCAGAGCGACATCCACTTTTTTGTTGTTTAATTTTTACCAATGTAGAGTATTGTAGACAATGTAGTAATATATTTTGATATTTTAATGTCAAATTTCGATAATATAAACTATTTTAAATTTAAATTATTGCGTTTTTATTCTATGATAATTATCAAAGTTTATCTTCCATGAAATAATGTCCAAACGCAAAGAAAACAATAACAATGTAATTCTCAAAACTACAACATAAATCACAAATCATAATCACAATGTTGATGTGCAGCTGATGGCACGGCCACGGAGGAGAATATTATAGAATAGAATAATATTAATTATTATTTAGTATTTACATTTTACATTTACATAGATAAAGAAATCAATTTCCCGTTTTACTTCTATAGTTCTTACTTCTTAGTTCTATTACTTATAATTTATATGTGTTCAAAGTGTGTGTTCGGAGGAAGGAAAGAACGAACGATAAAATAATAACAAACCACTCAGTGACCGCGGCGACACGGTTTGGGAGACGCGATCTGCGACACTCATCGGTCAGTACTCAGTAGCAGAGTTTACGCGCGTTCATTAGTTATTTCGACAGTTTTGTACGTTTGCTTTACAAACTAGTGACTGACAGTAGTAATAATATTAACGATTTCCACAGCGTAAAATAAAAATAAAAAATAATACAAAACAAATAACTCGGTCGTCGTCTAAATAGTAAATATGATCAACTGCGGTAACATCGTCTCTGGCAACCGTCATTTCTATTACTCAACATTTCACGGCTAGGTTTTTAGTCTCTTCGCACAGGTACATTTGCGTTTGCACTCGGAACGAGAGTTGTAATTCGGTAACCAACTACAGTACTTGATCAAACGACGCTTTTTGGACTTCAGGCGTTTAACGTCGTCTCAAGTGAGTGATTTGTGTTCGTTCAAGGTTTTCTTAATGTGCCCATTCCTTAAAATACTGGCAGATGATCAGATTTGTCAATACTTTGGTGTGTATTGACATATTCCTCGAGCTTAGTTAAAAAAAATTTAATTGACAGTATTGTACATACATCATTGAAATACGATCACTCAGAATACCTAGCCTACACTTAAAAGTTAGCATCAGCTATTGTCATTTCCTGTTCAAAGAGTTTTGAAATATTTTCCATTTTGTTGGAAATATGTTTTAATTTGCAATTTTTGATACTGACTAGCAGTTGAGTTTCATTAATTGTTTTTATTTTGTTTTGTAAAGTAAGAAGACCAAAGATCAAAAATGGATCCAATGGCACTAGTGACGCAATATAATTTATTGCAAAACGGTCCTCCGGAAGAATCAAAACTTGCTACTTATATGGTATGTATAATATGTCAATTTAATTTTTTTGTCTTTTGTTTTTGGGTCATTATCTATGACTACTTTTGTTACTTTTATATAGGGACAAACAAATTTGACCTCAATATCCTAAGGTCATAGGGAAATAATTGATTGTTAGAGTTTATTAATTAATTGTATTATATAAAAAAATTCTTAAAATTTGTAGTAATTATTATATTAATATTATTTAAGAGTACGTTGTGTTATCTCTCTCTTAATAATTATCAATATGTACATCCTGCAATTCTAATTTTGTGTTGCTAGCTTAAATATTAGAGTGGATTGCTTATTATCAAACTCAAATGTAAGAATATTATCAGTGTTCTCCCGTTGGTTGTTTACAATATTTTAATTTTTAAGTGAATTATGAGCATTGTACTTGTACATACTCTAAGTTGTATACTTAAGAGTACGCTTCACATACATTTGTTGTCTCCATCATCTTACAAGTACGTAGCATACCAAATGTTAAGCTCAGCACATCATATTTAGCTCCACCTATTTAATAATTAGAGTGAATTTACCTCTTAATTAAAAGAAAGATTATAGATATAGAGCATTTCATAGGTTTCTTCTTATATTTAAATTTAAAGCGAGTTATGAGTATTTTATAATTGTTAATTGTCTGTACACCTCTTAACACATAACTCTCTTTAAAATTAAAATATAATAAAAAGCCCATGAGATTCTCCCTATATATCTTACCTTTACATTTTATAATTAACTCTAATTTTTAAACTAATAGAGCTAAACGTGATCTGCAGAGCGTAAAATTTGCTAATCAAATGTCTGTGTAGCGTCCTCTAAAGCCAACAATACAAAGTTGAAACGGCTGGACGTATATTTTGGTATATTATGCATTAGTATGAGCGGAACAACATATGCTTAGTCCTCTAAACAGTCTAAATAAAAGACTGTCTTAAAGCAGTTAAATCACATAATCGCAGTCGCTACACCTAATTGACGCCACTGATATGATCGATTGAGTATTAACTACCAAACATATGTTACATTAAGTATTTGAAGTACTATAGTACTGTAACCAATATACCATAGTGAATAGAACTGATGCACAATTATTGAATTATGTGCATAATTTATAATATTAATTTTAAAATACATTTTTGTATATTTTAATTTTATTATTGGGGGACGGAGTGGCCCTGCAGACTAAGGTGTCGATTGCAACGCGCACCGGCAAAAGTTTGATCCCGGCTACGGTTGGCATTTTTCTTCAGGCAGTCATGGTGTCCGGAGAGAAAGGCCGCTATCCCCCACCCGGGCATGGCAGATAACTACAGGTGGCCACTTAAAAATTCTGCCAAACACTCACGTGTAAAAAAAAACTCACCGTTCCAAACCCTACAAACAGCTAATTGCCAGGCTTAAGGATCAATAAAAAAAAAAAAAAAATTTATTATTATTATAATTCTAATAAATACTAATACTAATAATTTTTTTTACAGAAACGCCAAAATAATGCATCACCTCAATCATCATTGTATTCAGCATTATCAAAAAATTATTCTAATTTAGATATAAACCAGTCACCCGTATCAATGAAAAAGGTAAATAAATAATAAAATAAAAATATTGTGTCTTTTTGCTAGATTTTATATTAAATATATTAAGTTCTCACACCATTTATATTTTGCATTAATGGTGTCTAAGTCAGCTATTTATTAAGGGGTAAAAACTAAAATATATAAGAAGCTGTACAGGGAAATAAAATCAAAGCATTTAAAAAATGATAACTCTATAGAACGGTCAGATTTTTATGATTTTTTATTTTGTATGTGAATGATAAAAACACTATTCAGGTTGCATTGAGGACTGATTCTTTAATTATTTAAGTTTTAATGATATCAGAAACAAATTATACATTTCTAAATACTCAAAAAAGTGCATTATGTAAGTTGATTACAACTTCTTAAAAATTGGTGTCTATTGAGACCTACATAAAGTATCTTTATAATAATAATAATAATCTTTATCACGGATATTAACTCCATTTTCAATAATAATATTTAATACTATTTTCAATAATTATATTTAATATTATTTTCAATAATAGTATATAATAATTAAAAAGATTAGTATCTTATTATTATCATATTATCGTTCAAATGAAACAAAAATTATTAATTATCAAAATCTGATTTTTTCATAAGGCATGAGTTTTTCCTGTGAGGTAAATGTTTGTATTAAACTCATCGGCACTGATGCCCTTAATGCTCATTAACTGATAAATAGTTAATCTGGGGGTAACATACTTTAAAAAAACATTTAAATTTATATTAAATATTTAATTTGGTTTTTAAAATCTAATTAGCTATTACGCTGGGATTAAGAAATGTGTATGAATGCACGTTCAAATTCTTAAATTCTATACCATAATATTGTACCATAACCTACCATATATGCATAATATATCAATTCTACATCATGCAATAAAATATTTGGCTTGAAATAAAAAACCTAATAATAGGTATTAATTCCAATACATATCAATTAAAAATTATTATGTTTATTGAGTTTATCCGCATCAATAAATGGTAATTTTCTGCATATGGTTAGTTAATTTTTAGATGATATATATTAATCCCAGAGGCTAAAAGAATTTTGGTTAGTTATTCAACTGCTCGTCACCGTAGATTGATCACATCACTGTCATATTATTAACTTAAAAATACACTTAAATTGTATTAGGTGTAATCATAAGTAACCTTTCAAAGCACAATGTAATTTTTATTTTAAACACATAGAATAATAAAAAAGTTTGCAATTATTATGCACATGTTGTGATAGGCAGTTGACAATTTTCAGGCATCTATACCAACTGTCGATTTCGTACCTAGAAATCTAGTTAGTTCGTTAAATAATCCTGATGGTTCCTCAATGTACGCTAAAGACAAATCTCAGCCAATACAAGCATATCAGGTAGATAGTATGACTTAATAAAATCTCTAATAATTTTTAAATATCTTAAAAATATATTTTAACTATTATTATTATTTGGTATCTAATAGAAAAATGTCAATGGTACAACATATTTCTATCCTCCAGACACTAATGGCAGTAACCAACCAAATGGTAACATTTTTGATGATCCGTCTGGATACTTACCAATGCCATCTGTTGAATCACCAACATCTTCATTATATGCCCAAGATGACTTAAGAAGAGATTTGTTGCATAGAAATGCCTTATCAATGGCCTCACCAGACTCGGACCGATGGCCAGGTCTGTAATATCCTCAATAAATAAGGCATTTTTCTTTATGAATTTTTAATAGTTTATTGACATTTACATTTTAGATTTACCAGAAACTATTGAAGATTATCATGATGTTTATCCACTAGATATATATGGACATTCTTCTAAAATATTGACTTATAGTACATCCACTTATCGAGCAACTTATTCAAAGACTGGAGAGAAATGTTGCTTGAAACGAATTCATGGTAAAGATTTAATGAACTTTTTATTAGTTTTTACTCATTACTATTCTTATTTATTAATTATATTTTTACTAGAAAGTAACTTACTTTTAATTTTTTACAATAGGATGTACACAATCTACCCTTTTTAGCACAATAAGTAATGCAAAGAATAAAATGTACATGTTTATTTGGCCACCCATTGACTGGGAGCTGCCTAGTTATCTGTTTTTTTTTTAAATTAATTTAATTTTTAATTGTCTAACAAGTCATGGCTCCAGTTCCTTTTTAGACTACACCTAGGATTTCCAAGTATGGTTTGGGTGGAGAGGTTGTTTATGAGTGGGTTATGGTGTGTTTGAAGACGATTATGAAAATTTTATAGAAGAGTGCAGCTTCTTCTGTCACAGTTCTTATTAATAGATCTTTATGTAATGTGTAATTAGTTATAAAGGGGACCCCCGCATTAATTAGGGCAATATTTCGGAACTGTTGGATTTTATTAGTATTGCAAACTTTTGTAGTATCCTACAGTTGAAGACCATAGGTTCCTAGTGGCTTAAGTAATATTTTATACATTATAGAAGTTAATTTAGAGTATTTATTAAAGCAACTTAAAAATATTTTTATTATTATTGAATAAACAAAAGTTTTTTTTTTATTTACACGTTCATTTTAATCTCAATGTCGCAATTTTTGCACACTCGTGCTTCCACTTTATAAAAATTAAAAGAATTAAAAAAAATATATTTTTATTAGTTAATTTAAATTTTTTGATGTTATAGGTTTTCGACTAACAATTACAAAATATGCTCCGTTAATTGAAGCTTGGAAAAAAATCAATCATGCAAATATTGTTCAGTTAAAGGATGTATTTATAACAAAAGCTTTTAATGATACTTGTGAGTGTCGTCCTTTTCTATTTATAAAATTAAAAATTGTATGATATTGTTTTGGATTAATTATTGTTTATTATTTTTAGCTTTAATGTTTATTTTTAATTATCATCCGGATTCTGAATCTTTACAAACACGACATTTCAATTCTAATGAAACAATGAATGGTTATAATGATCCATTTAGTTCTGATCCAAATGCACCACGACCTTACAGCCACACTAAAAATGCAATTTTACGACATCAGCATAGGTAAATTATTATCTAAGTCATAATATTATGACATATTATGTTAAATTGAATTTTTGGTTTTTATTTTTATGTTTTAATCAGTATTGAAATTAGAGATACAAAATGTATTTATATAAGAAGTACTTGATAGTTTGATATATCCAGAAATGTTAGACTAAAATTTTGATAATTTATTTTTAGGCCAAGATTTAGTTTTCATCATTAGTTTTTCTTTTCAAATTTACCAAAGTATATATTTTTAAAATGTTATAGGTTATAACTAATTAGTAATTATCAATATTCTATTTTAGTATATAATAATTTCCTTATTTTCAATCATATTGTTTACCATTGAAGGGGTATCCTGTGCAGTAGCGTTATAAAATTGGTTCACGGTTTGATTATTAATTTTCGATTAAACGTGAAATTAATAATCCAGTGGTAAAAAAAATTATCAAACAGTCCTAGTTTCAATTATAAATGTATATTAAATCAAAATTTAAAAACTTAGTTTTTGCCTTATATTTAAATTTTTTAGATAAAAATTTAAAAATTTGTCTTTAAAAATATTTAAAAGTTCCACACATGAGATTTGAGTAAATTCATTATAAATGAAAATAATGAGGGTGAGAATGCTTGTTGAATCACTGTATATTATATATAATATCTTAAACTTTTCGACATTTAAATGTAATTATTTTATTATTTTTCAAGATTTATTATGTACTTTTACATTTTTAATAAAATGATATTATTTTCTAAATTTAACTTTATTAATTCATTAAAATTATTTCAACACAATATCCTCCATACAACTCTTTAAAGACTTGCTTTTAACTAACTACAATTGGAGTGTTTGTAATAAAATAATTTGAATTAATAACAATTATAAACATTGTTTCAGTAATGGACTATTATCTGAAAATACACTATGGAATTACGCGATTCAACTGAGTAGTGCACTCCGAGTAATACATGGATCTGGATTGGCATTACGGGGTCTTTGTCTAAATAGAGTTTTAGTGACCGGTCATGTAAATAACAGAGCAAGACTACGAATCAATTGTGTAGCTATAACAGATATTTTATTAAATGATATGGCCAGTTCAAACATGATTGGTCATTTTCAAGTGAGTGAAGATTCATAGTTTGTTTAAATTATGAATATTTTTTAAAAATGTGAGTTTTTAGCAAGAAGATTTAACAGACTTTGGTAAGCTTTTATTAGCGCTGGCTTGTCGATCTCTGATAGCTGTTCATCAAGATAATCTTGCTACTTCTATTGATTTAATGGCACGCTCATACAGTAGTGATATTCGTAATATAATAAGGTTTGGTTCACGAATCCGACTAAAGATAGTAAAACAAAATTTCATATGATAACTACTTTAATGATCTCAGGTATTTACTGAGTACTCAAAGACGGCACATTACAGAGTTAATGCCAATGATAGGAGCCAGATTTTATACGCAATTGGATGCTGCGCAGAATCACTCCGACAATTTGGAAAATGAGCTATCAAAAGAAATGGAAAACGGCCGTTTATTTAGATTGCTTGTGAAACTTGGATCAATTAACGAACGTCCCGAGTAATATATATATTAAAAATGTTACATTTAATTTATTTATATGTTTATTAAAAATGTTTTATTTTTAGGTTTAATTTAGATCCAGCATGGTCAGAAACTGGTGATCGATATATGTTAAAATTGTTTAGGGACTATCTATTTCATCAAGTGACTGAAGAAGGACGTCCTTGGCTGGATATGTCACACATAGTTCAAACTTTAAATAAACTCGATTCTGGATCTTCAGATACTGTAAATTCTAAATAAATATTTTTTTGTTTTATTTGCTTATTTCAATATTAATATTTTTTTTTAGATTTGTTTGTATTCACGCGATGAAAAAACCATATTAGTGGTTAGCTATCAAGAATTAAAACATTGTTTAGAACAGTCATATTGTGAAATTGCCTCCGTGGCTGCGTCCGATGATCATATTAAGGCTGAATAATCTTCTTAGAAGTCCTACAGTAGGACTTTCGGATAATTAGCAATAAGTCCAAGTACTTAATTTATAATAATTAAGATAAATTTATTACATGATGGATTAATTAACTTGGTTGAATGCTTAAAAGTGCTAATTTTTACATTTTTATTTTATTTTCTTCTAATTTTATTTTAAATTATATAATTATTTTTTTTACCAAATTTCATTCCTAATTCAACATTCCAATCATAAGTGTTGCAAAAATTAACTTTACTTGAGTTTGTTTTTCAATTTGCTTCCATTTGGCTGTGTATTTACAAAGAATATATATATTTTAAACATAGAGCAATAATATAACATTATATCATAGCTAGCTTGAAGTTGATAATTACAATTTTAGTAAACTTTTTGGTCTCTCAATTGTTATATTTTTTGTTACATTTAATATTGTGTTAGGAATGAACAAGATGATAAATATTTAATGAGACTTAAGTTGTCTTTCAATATGTGTTCTAACTTATTTTGTTACCTAAAATTGATAAACAATAACAACAATTAAGCTTTATATATACACTTTTATACCATTGTCTCTATATTCAGTCATAGCAGTACTCCATGATTCAAATAATTTACTATTTGATAAATGGTGCGCATAGTCTTTATATAATATTATGTTAATTATAGATTATTTTTATTTTTAAAGCTAATTTATATAAATATATTTTTTTTCTTATTAATGAATTATTTGTTTACCAAAAATTAAATTGTTGTGATCAGTTATTACCAAAAACTAAAAATAAAAGCTTTTTGTTAATTTTAACAAAATTATATTTTGATACATATTGAAAGATGGCTAAATGTATGGTAATATTTCTATATATTATTGAGAATTTACATGGCAGCTATTAAGTTAAAAGTAAATCGCACAAAAGCTATAGCATTGAAGCAATGGTGATGTCGTCTATCATTTGTTATAATTAATATATATTTTTTTTTATAAATTGTTTGATTGTGATAGGTTTGAGAATAAAATGTCCAAAATAATAGTTTTTAAGGTTTTGTCATGTAATATTATTAAGAAGAGTTAAATAAAAGATAAATTATTTTAACTGATTATTAATTATTCAAGTATTTTTTTACTTCATCTATATTATTAATTAACTTGTCAACATAGAGTTGAGCATAGGTCATAGCGAGATTTTACCGGCATAATGGGCAATGGAATTTAGTGGTGCCAACTGTCGCAGCGGGATCAACAAGCACAAGTGTAGACTCATGGAGGTGACTGGCGAGCGAGAATCGTCACAGTATGTTTAATAATATATATATTTGTACATAATTGATCATAGTTCATAGCCTTTAAAAGGTTCTGAATGTTTTGATTTTACGATGATATTTTATGTCCGTCATCTTTTCTAGTGGGAAAGTTGATCTTGTTGGTACTTTAGGGCAGCGGTTCCCAAACTTTTATGATCACGGCGCGCTTGGGAAAAATTGTTGTTTCGTGGAACCCCAATGTTTGTAAAACAAATATTTAATTGTAATATGCCAATATTATACTAGTAACTATTATTTATGTGAACTTTTTTTTCCAAGTTAAATATAAAACAATTTTCTCAATATCCACATACATCTTTCAATCTGGCGGAACCATCAAGATTGGTTCAAGGAACCTTAGGAATCCTTTGGTTCCTCGGAACACACTGGGAATTGCCGCTTTAGGGTGTCAAAAGTAAAAATTCCAAGTTATCTTCAAAAGCATCAGGAAAAACAAAATCAAAAATTAAGAAAAACGGGAATTTTAATTCAAAACCGGTTTTTGACAAAATAGAATTAGTTTTTTAGAGTAACTCAAAAACTAATAATAACTGTATAATATACTTTAAATTTTCTCAAAATATTTATACTAGCTCAATGATCTATACAAGATACATATTATTAATAATTCTGAATTATTTCTGAACCCTCCAAGTTGCCAGTACTGGCAGGGCAGTGAAACACTGTAGTTGTGATCCACCGTTGTCGGCTATGCGGCATGCTTGAGCGAAATGAGCGAATATGTATGCACGTAGACGTGGGCTGGCGGCCCTGTAAGGCGTTTTTCGTGGGTGGTGAGGGGCTAGGCGGCGCTTAGATCCTATCATCCTAACCATGAACATTGGAGACTGGAGTAATGTTCATGATCATAAATTCATAACCTTTCGTAGTAGCGTGAAAAATTCAAAAATTGTTGTCCCTCGTGATAAGTATTCCATTACTCGTTAGCTTGGTAGACCTAACCTATAGGTAATGGTTCCGTCGTTGTACATTATCTTAAATTTGATCGCTAGACCACTCTCGCTTATATAATAAATTATACGCCATGTGGATTAAAACTTAGAATGTATGCTCGTGTTTATTAATACTTATTTTTACAACAGTCAACAACTAATTTTTATTTTATTATTATTTTTCGAACCATTGAAACGCGTTTAACCATAGTTCGTATACTAAAATCCAGATAAACTTCTGATTTCGTCTTAAGTAAACTCAAAATCATTTTGCGTATAATATCGAAGGCGGAGAAGAATATTGAAAAAAAATGAAGTATTTAACCTATTTTGCAACTTGTCATTGTTTTGCACTAGTAGTAAGTTTTGATGTCTTTAGTCATATATCTTCAGCGTTTAATGTAATTGGTGACGAATTTTCCAAAGTACCCAACTCCTTGAACATTGGCATCGATGCAATAGGTAACGAATTTTCCAAAGTAGGTACCCAACTCCGTGAACATTGGCATCGACGCAATCGGTAACGAATTTTCCAAAGTTCCAAACACCGTCAACACAGGATTCAACGCAATCAGTAATGAATTTTCCAAAGTACCCAACACCGTCAACACAGGGATCCACGCAATGGGTAACGAATTTTCCAAAGTACCCAACTCCGTGAATATTGGCATCGACGCAATCGGTAACGAATTTTCCAAAGTTCCAAACACCGTCAACACAGGATTCAACGCAATCAGTAATGAATTTTCCAAAGTACCCAATACCATGAATATTGGCTTTAACGCAGTCGGCCACGAAATTTCCAAAGTACCAAAATTTTTATCCGACGTAGGTTGTAGCGATATTGTTACCGGTATAGTCATTAGCCTACTCATCGAATGCAACCCACACGCGTTCATTTCCGACACACTAGACACCGAGGATGTAATAATGATGAATACTTGTAAATCGATCGAAATTGCGTCTCTCGCGTTACCGTTAATTGCCGATCTCGCGACATCGCCCGTGCAAGTAATCTGCACTGTGTGGGTTGAAGATCGTTTAGATGTATACTCGCATTTAAAAGGTATCGATGTGCAAACAGAGCCTTTCGGGACCAATGTCATAAACAATGATGAATTGTTTTATAATTTATCGAAACTTAACGATCAATATTGTAATAACGATTGCCACTTGGATGATTACGAATTTATCAAACCGGACGAACAAAACGAACCTCCTGCAGACACTACATCGTCGCCCACTGACGACGTTGGTGCTAGATTTAAACGAGGAATTTTTGGTAAAGCGCTGTCGACATCGACCAAGGATTTTGCAAAAAAGTTTGTCATAAAAATTGCACCTAAATTTTTTATGAAAAATGGCGTACCGTCGCCGATGGCGTTTCGGGGTATACGTGGTCCGGTTAGTATTAAAATGGCAACAAAAATCTCTGTTATGATTTTGAATATTATAGAAAAGAGACTTGGTAAAATCGAAAATTTGTACGATATATTTGTACTAACTAAAACTGTTCCAACCACGTTCACGAAAAAGTATTACGTTAACAACCCACGTCATTTTGGGAGAGTAGCCGCTAAGAACTTTCAACGTGAACTCATGAACAAGGAATGGAAGTTATTACACTTACATTGATGAAACACTGCACTGATACCTCTACACATGAATAAGTTAATTATTATTATTTATCACTTTAAGTATATTAAGTAAATTGTAAGTAAATAAGATATAGCTTGAGCTGTATTTTTCATTACTAATTGTTATGTTGTCTAGATATAGTAAAACAGAATATAATATTAAATTATTCTAAATAATAATAATAGGTATATTTATTGGTGGTTTAAAACGTAATATTACGAACAAACCATATTGTGATAAACATACCTTTGTAAAACTTTCTTTTGATTTTATTTTCTGTTTATAATAAAATGAGTTTATTATACTATCCATGTGTTATATCCAAGTGTCATACTTGGAGTTTGGACACCAGTACACCACGATAACTATCTAATTATTAAAAAAAAAATAAAACTTAAATATATGAAAATTCCTATGACTATTTTCATATTATAGTATGTGGTAAATATTAACTAAGTATATAAGGCAACAAGATTTTGCTTAAAAATTTCCGTTTTTCCTTATTTTTTTTTTGTTTTTCCCGGCGTTCTTGAAAACTACTGGGAACTTTAAATTTACCATTTAAATTGAAAATCGAAACATTATTTTGACTACCTATCGTGTACACAGCTAGGCAAAAACGAAATAAAAATTAAAAACCATCATTATAAAATCAATACATTCATCGCTCCGCTCAGAATCTAAAACACATATTTAAGATTTTTATATTTTTAAAGTAGGCATATTACTGCAGTGTTCAATAGTTTAGCCATAATAATTACAAAATGTGTGTAAGTATAGCTTCGTATTGATTTCCGATACAGGCTACAGCGATACGTGATAATCATAGATATTAATATAAGTATTAGGTATCCCATCTTCAGTAATATATAATATATAGATATTAATAATAAGTTAAAAAAACGACCACAATTAAAACAACTAATACAAAATTATAAAGATCAAAAAATAACTAAATTGCATTATATAAAAACAATTTCACATTATTACTCAATCAAAAAATAATCAACATCAACAATATCTACAATCAACACTTAATAATTTTAATAAAACTAGAATGACGATGAATATGAATTTTTCTATAAAGAAAAAAAAATATTTTTGGATGATAACTAGAACCGCCTCCACGTGATGTCCTCTGGGATTACTCTAAATGGTTCTAATTTTATTTAGGGGAATTAACGTAAGCGTAATACGGTAGCAAAATGTTTTTAGGGGAATTTACTATTTAATTTTTTAGGGGAGTTTACATTTGCCCGTCTATAAGTATAATGTTAGATCAGTGGCGTATTTAAGAGGGGGATGTGGGGGATGAATCCCTCCACATGACCTTTTTTTTTTACTATTTTGCTCTTCAGGGATATGTTCAAACGAGGATTACTATAGTATTATTGAAAAAACACACTTACACGCTGTATTAGGTAGTAGCTCTGAACAGGTACCTATCTATATGTGGACTCTTCGATAGTTTTTAGATGAGGAACCAGATTCAAGACATCAGGGAATCAGTGGTTCACTGACATTTTAATAGTGGAACTATTCAATTTTAATATTTAACATAAATAGCAATATAGTTAATCGTAATAAATAATTTAATACCTAACTGGATCTAAATAATGTTAATACGTAGGGGAGAGTGGGGCAGATTTGAATGAAATTTACATTTTATTTTTTTAATTTTTAATTTTTTGACAAATTTTATATTTGATAATTACAATCTGTAGTCTAGATAGTTGTGAATACTATTTGACTTTTAACAACCTTATATATTAAATAACCAATTTAATTTCTAATTATGAAGTGAAGTATATTTTTATTCAAATGTACCCCACCCATGGGGTACATTTGAACGTGCAGGGGGTAGATTTGAATATGTGTCTTAAAAGCCACATTTGAATGTTAAATATTAAATTTAATTAAACTTTTTATTTATTTTAATAATAAAAATAGCTCAATATAATATAATAACAATTTTTTACAATTATGTTTAGATGTTTTCTTGTCAATTTTTTTTTTATTGTGAAAATGTAGTATTTTTGGGTTTTCTTATAGATAAATCCACATCTTGTAACATAAATCCAGTTAACTAGTATATTCCATCCATAAGATAGATATTTCAAAAAGGAGGAACCTTTATTACACCCTATTATCTACCCTATTGATGAAGATTCAAATCTACCCCATGCCAAAATAATCAATAATAATCGTAATATAAATTTTAATAATTATAAATAATGTATGTACATTAAATGTATTACTAGGCAGTAGGCAACAATATTTTGAATAGGTATATTTAATTCTAAACTTATTATTTTGAATTTTAGTTTCCAAAATGTTCTTATGGAAACACCTATTTTTATTTAAAAAAGCCGGAAAATCACATTATCATTTTTATTTATCACAAAATTATTCAAAAATGTCTGATAATCACATATGGTATACAAAATATTGTCACCAACTTAGATTATTATTTTTATGAATGTAAATAATCTGTAACAAATTATATTAGACAAATTCAAATTCAAATCTGCCCCACTCTCCCCTATATAATATAATATAACATAATTTAGTAGGTATGAATAAAATAAAGAGTGGCCACTTCGAGAAATCAATTTTTTCATGAAAAGATGTCCTTCAACCATTTCATGATGTAATCATGAAAAGTTGTCCATAACCATTTAAATATGTCATTAAATAAAATTTCTAAAATATAAATTATTTATATTTAGTATGATTATAGCCTATAGGTACATTATTATTCATTATACTCATTAAAAGTGCATATAATTCTCTACTACTTCGTGTTAATGAACCATAGGCCATAGCTATACAAATAAATATCTATAATACCTATTTTTTTTCAAACAATAATTATAACATTAACATATCATTCGTTGGTTATTGGTTATAACTTATACCTAAGTAGATAATAATATGTTAAGTGAAACTGGGGTACATACCCCATACGCATTATTAGTCCCCACATCTCTCAATTTGTATATATTGAAATAGGTAATCGAGAAAATATTCTGCTTTGGCATATATGAAATGTATATGATGTCTTTCATAACTATAAAAAATCAAAAAATATTGGCGATAAATTATAATTAGGACCTGTAATTATTTGTCTTAGAGGTAGTTTCGAAAAGACATGACATTATGTAAAAAAATTTTCAAAAAACTATAATTTTCGAAATTTTCTGTGTAGACACTTAGACGGATCACACTATATATTTTAATGAATAAGCTAGATAATAATAATATTTTCCCCCATCCTTAATTGCGCTTTTGGCGCTATGCAATTTTGTAAGACAAAAGTTTGAAATAGGGGGCCTCAAAATATGACTTGTACTCGGGCCCATTTATCTCTAGTTGCGGCACTGGGCCAACGCCACGCGGGATGGCTAAAAATTAAAATATAATATGATTTTGCTTCCATACCTATGCAGAGCTAATTACACCAAAAAGGAGTTAATTAGTTCCAATTTTTTTTTATTCAGCTAGTTATAATTATATAATTGAAAAATAAACCAATGAACATAAAATGGTTCATGTAATTAATAATTTATTATATGAATACAAAACAAATACATAGTTATTAGTTATAAGACAAAGTGCAAAATAGTAATAATACAAAACAAATACCTACATAGTTATTAGTTATAATACAAAGTGCAAAATAGTAATAATACAAAACAAATACATAGTTATTAGTTATAATACAAAGTGCAAAATAGTAATAATACAAAAGTACAAAACAAATTCATACAGTAGGTATTATGATTTTTTTCTATATAACTATTATTATCACATTTCGGTAGAAGAGTGGTTAGGAATTAGGATGTGGGAGGAGATCTTTATATAAATATGAGGTCTCCTCCCAGAGAGAACCACGCTCTTCTACCGAAATGTGATAATAATAGTTATATAGAAAAAAATTCATAATACGGTGCAACAATATCATACTAGAACAGCCATGATGGAATAAACACAATCGTCCATCTATGTGGAAACGGACGAAGCGTAACATTCGTACGCGCTTGTTCAGCTGAAGTTGAAGTTAGCGAGTGAACAATCGGACGAAGAAACGTTTTGTCCGTTTCCACTTAGATGCGCGATTGCGTTTATTCGCTAATCGGGAGGCCAATTCCTCCATTTCTGTTATAGGATGATGTTGTGGAACCGTATTTTGAATTGCTTCTGCGTCACTCAAGACCGTCTCGGTTTGAGTCGATTTATCATGACTGGCCTGCACCGATACGACATCAACTCGACATGCCGACAATATGTTTGGCATTGATGCCCATTGCCTCCTAATCTTCAGCCCTGCAAAATCACTGTGACATTCCAACTTTGAAAAGTCTGCCGACCAGTTTCTCAAGTCAGCGAAAACTTTATGCATTAACAGTTGTTCTGCGGACGGCGAGCAAATTTCGGTTTCCGACACATTAGTCTTTACTTCAGCAATATTTGACATGTCTTATATAAAGTTACAATAAATTCAATACAATAAATTCTTTATTCGAATATTATTCGTTATTTAACAGTTATTTATACAATATTCAATTCATACACGGAAACTTTTATGATATAAATTATTATGGTTGAATGGTTCAAACACTATATTATATTATACTGCCATAACAACGTATTGTCCAGTTACGATCAACTTGACAAAAACAAGGAAAAAAAAAAGAGGTTATACATATCAAATATCATCAAAATATCAAAGACTTATAAAATGGTAATGTGACTTTTACTAAACATCTAAACTTCTTTTTATAATTTATTGGTATGAATATTATGAACATATTAAAATAATAGAAAATATAGGAAATTAATTACCCACCTATTTCATTATTTGATCCACCTAATTTGACCTAGTTAATCCGTAACAACTAACATAATAATATGTTATATAAACATAATTTTAAAATTAATGTCAATACTTATACTTAAATATAACATCTTATTTGTTTCTAATTTCTGTAATATGACTACATTATATCTATATGACTATATGTTACGACTTCAAAAAGTAATCTTTGATTAAGTACCTACTACCTATATAATAGTAGTGTATAGCACCAAAACTGAAGCTCATAATACCTCTTAATGCATTGAGTAAAATCAGCTTTTCATTTAACCTTTTAATTCTCTCATAGTCTCATAAGTGCATCATTAGTATTATAAATAAATTATTAGCAATCATTGTTATACTTAAAACATTATTTTATTTTATTTTAGCAAATTCAATTTAAATATTATAATATTATATTTGAACAAATATAACACTCCTATTTATAGGTATCAAAAAAGTTAATTCTCAACAGTTTAATCAATATTACTATAGCTCCTTCAATAACTTATTAGGTACTTATTAGTATAATAACAAATTGTACTTAACTATATTTCAAATAACACACGTAATGCAATTTTCTTGTAAACATATTTATGAAATCTATTCACGAGTCACAAACTCACAACCAAACATAGCTATACAAGAAATATACCAATATAATTATTTAAAGATTGCATTTTGTAGTATGAAACAAAATGAGAATATTTAATACTTATTGTATATTATTTGTATTGAATAATTTAAATTTGAATAAATATTTTGGATAATAGGTAGGTACTCTATAAAATAAAATATTAAATCGTTTTTAATTTTCAATCATGTGAAGGTATTCCGGGTTTTCGCAAGTCCAGAGATTGGTTGTTTATTACATTTCTTTGATTTTTATGATTCGATTAGTTATTAAATTATACTATAGAACAATTAGCTACTAGTTTTCGTAGGTATTTACAACTGTTTATAGTTTATACTACACACCCATTTTATGTAATAAATTATAAGTAATAAAACACTTTCACGCTATACATCCGTATTCCTTACAGATTTCCTTTATACTAACTACTTATCGTAGAAACAATAAATATTTACAAATTTAACTTTGAAAGCCGAGTAGGTAACAGCAATACATATCTATGAATAATTAAGAGAACACTACACGGACATTTCTTGTCTCCGTTTTACAAGTGCAGGCTCTTACAACGGGATTGGTAAATTGAGTCCAAAATGACCTTATCTCGGTAAATTTGGTCCCGGAAAAAAAAAGTAATAGGTAAATTGAGTCTTGAAAATAAAATGTTAGTATATGTCCATTTCATTTTTTTAATATCTAATCATCTTTAAGTCAAATTTTATAATTGTATTATTACTATTATTTTATATTACGTAATTATATTATGTTCTCGGTATAAATGGTATAAACTAAAATATATGTCTTTATTATAATATTATTATGTTCTTGGTAAAAACTTGAATGATTTGCCCGAACAGGTAGGTAATAGTGGGTTTATAGTTTTATACTTTTATAGCCGGCACTTAACTTACCTAATACTTTTTTTTTATACCCGTGACTCAACTTATTGCTTTCAAAATGTACCCAAATTATCGTGGACCCAATTTACCTAACCCCACGTAGATAAAAAATATTCATGGTGGGGGGGTTCATATAATCTATAAATATAAAAAAATACACAACCATTTTCGGTTCAACCCCACTATAAGTGCGTAACATAGAAAATTTTACGTTTAGCAAATCACGTTTAGCTCCGTTAGTTAAAAAATTGAATTGTCCTCTCCTCTTATAAAATTAAAGGTATGATTATTATCTAGGGGCTAGGGCATCTCATAGACTTTTTGTTATTTTTGAATTTTAAATCGAGTTATATGTATTTTAAGCCGGGAAATATAATGTAAGGATCTATACAAATTTAAAATAAAATTATAAAAATGTAGACAGGTGCGTACTTACTGTTTAAGGTGTTGAGTGGGTCACTGTAATCGATGGGTTAAATTTGAATTCAATGAAATAAAATTATTGTGTACGAAAAACGATTTTGAGCGACGACAGTCAGCCTATAGTCTATACACACCAAGTTTATTTAGATATTAAAGTTATCTATTTTACTATATTAGTCACAAGTAATATATTAGGTACTTATTGTATATACACATAGTAAATATTAAATTGATAATTAAGTTTGGTTATTCAATGTTTTTACGTTTAATTAATGAATCAAAGGAAAAATCGAAATTTGGAACAGTGTAGTGCTCCCGGCTGAACTTCACAATATTATTAGAGCGATTGGGAACCAAAAAGGGATAATGATTTCTTGGTACCTTAAAGTTTTTTCTTTTTAAAAGTTCGGGTCACGATATTTTGTTATTAATTTATGTGTGAAAGCTACATCACTGAACAGGGCAGCCAATAATGGTTCAAGACCTAAATCCATAGTCACTCTTGGAAAGTGCCGTTGAATTTTATCCAGTTTATCAGCTTTTAGGTTTTTGGTTTTTGGTTCCCGTATCACTGATTACAATTCTAAAATTGACCTAACAAGAGTGAATGGAGCAGTACGAGGTGTGGCAATTAAATAACGAGAATTTGTTTCTAGCTTCTATAGTGGTAACACTGATATCTTGAAAATTTGTTGACTTAAAGTTCACGAGGTAATACACAAGTTTGCCAAGTTTGATAGTGATCGGTGTTATATTTTGTGCTCCCCGATTTTTTAAAGTTAGTAGTGTAGTGTCGTGACGTACAAAAATGTGTGACGTGAAAAACGAGCAACGAATCGTCATCAAGTTTCTGGTGAAATCTGGTGAAAAAACGGCCGAAATTTTTCGTAAATTGCAGCGTGTGTTCGGTAATGACTGCTTATCAAAACCACGTGTGTATGAATGGGCATCACGTTTCGCATCAGGTCGAGAATCGACGCAAGATGATGCAAGGTCGGGTGCCCCTAAAATTGTGCACACTAGGCAAAATGTTGAACGTTTGAGTGTGTTGGTGTGAACTGATCGACGCCTCACAGTCAGGAGTATTTTATATTGAAGTTCTTAAGCGATTGTGTCATAGAATGTCTCGTGTAAGGCCGGAATTAGCCAAAAATGGTTGGATCCTTCACCATGACAATGCGCCTGCACACACCTCATTAAAAGTTCAACAGTTTTTGACCAGTAGGAACATAACAACGCTCCCCCACCCCCCGTACAGCCCCGATCTGGCTCCACTGGACTTCTAGCTATTTCCAAAGTTAAAGGAACCAATGAAAGGACATCGCTATGAGGATTTGGAGGACATTCAACGTGCCGTAACAACGGTGTTGAAGAGTTTAACTTCTGGAGACTTCCAGGAGTGCTTCCAGAAATGGGAAGAACGCTGGACCAAGTGTGTTAGACTCGGAGGAGAGTACTGTGAAGGCATGGGCGCATAAATTATTGTAAATATTAAATAAATGTTATAAAATTAAAAATTCTCGTTATTTAATTGCCACACCTCGTATAGTACTTTAAGGGCCGATTTCACCAACACAGTTAATCACGGTTAACGCCTAATCGGCTGATAACAGATATTTAACCGGCCAAATTCGGCCGATTAAAACTCCGGTTAACTTTAATCATGATTAACTGTGTTGGTGAAATCGGCCCTAAGACATTAAAATGTGTCTTTAAAATCGAAGAAGTTTCGTTCTAAAAAGCACGGAATGCTTTACCATAAATAGTATCTATGTCAAGTCTGCAGAAGAAAACAGAACGCCCAGATCAACAGATTATTAATGGTAGAAGAAGTTTGTAATTCGAAACCATTTACTTATTTTATTATGTGTTTGTAGGTTTATTTCTTTGGCTGCTAAATGAGACAACTTTGCATTTAGAGCAATTAGAGGTGTTAATGGGTTATCTGGAATATTATTTCGATCACACCATTTGGTAAACTCATCTACGTAGATCATATTGCAATAGAGTCGAATAATACCTAACCTGACCTAGCCTATATTTATATGAACATTTTGTGAAAGTTTCAAGTGTTTATTACGAAGTAATAATGTAATATTATCTTAGTTACATCTACCATAGGAGATTTGGGTTTTTAATTGTCATTTCTATAAAATATATTACATTATAAGTTATAACCAATAAATAATATCTAAGTACCTACAAAAATATGGCTGGCCAGTTAAAAAAAGTCAAGGGAGGGTAAGACACCGAAAACCCCCCGTAATTACGCCACTGATTCGTTTTTGAGTTAATACAACATTTTGTTCTCCTCATTCAGCCTATAAAGTTGAGACAATATTTTCAAAATAGGTACCTACAACGTTTTTTTTTTCAAATAAAATTGTTATAATAATAGCTTTATTATCTTTATTATCCATGGCTGCCGTGGTTCTGTGTAATCAGTTATCAGGTCTATGGTTATCACTTATCAATATTATCTTTTGTTTACTGTTTAACACTTCGTGTGGCTTAACGTTTATCAAACGCTCGTCAATCGTCTTCGTTATTTCGTTAACGTACGTATAAGCATTATATACAAATTACAAATCGCGGTGTTGCTCGTTATTTTTGTTGTATTTTAGTGCATTCGGAATTGCAATAATTAGTTATAATGGAAGAAGATACAAAAAAAATATCTTTTTCGTTCAAACAAATATCTAAACCTAAGGTAATTCCTATACTTCCAAAAACAGAGAAAGCAGTTCAGTTTATTGAATGCGTCGAAGAGAAATCAATCAAAGTTGCTGGAGTAGTGGAAAAGGTTGATGATGAATTAGTTATAACTATGCCAAAGTCAGTTAAGCAGCGACTACCAACAAAGGAAGTTGTAAGCTCAATACCAAACAAACTGCAAGAAAACGGAGCGTCAACACTGGAAGAAATGGCTGTACAGGCAATATTAAAGGGCTGTAAAAAAAGAGAAAGAGGTGAAGAAGAAGAGGAAGAAGAAGATACAAAAATAGTTGAAGTACCATTGATAATAGATCCTCAGGAAGGGATGGAGATGTCTACGGCCGAAGATTATGAAAGTATACCTATTGAAAAATTTGGATTAGCTATGCTACGAGGTATGGGTTGGAAACCTACCAAAGGTGTTGGTAAGAATTCTCAAATAATTGCTGCTAGTCTACCAGAGATAAGGTCCAAAGGAATGGGTTTAGGCGCTGATAAATTAATTAAATCTGTGCAAAAAACACAGAGTTCCGAAGAAGAACTAAAACTCAAACAAGGGTCTTTTGTACAATTTATAATTGGGAAACTAAATGGCCAGTATGGACAAGTTTGTGGTTTTGATGAATTATCCTCAAGAGTAATTGTGAAAGTTTCACGCACTGGTGATTTGGAAAATGTAAGCGAAAATTTATTTACTTTAGTTACCAAAAGTGACTATGATAAAAATTGTAATGTGATTAATATAAAACAGTATAAAGAATACCATGATGGTAAAACTAATTCGAACAACAGTGAAGACCAATCCAATCACCGTGAAAAAATAAATAAAGACATTTACAGTGATCATCGATCTAGACACCATAAAACGAAAAAAAGCAAACATTCCAAATCACCACATAGAAAACATAAATCTAATCACAACAAACATAAAAAATATAAACACAAAAAGTCTTCATCATAATATATTATATTTAGAATTATAGATTAGTTATTAGTTATTAATTACTAATGTTGTTTATTTTATTGATAATTATTATATACTTTTACAATGTTTAGACACCTGCTGTTACTTTGCTGCAGTAAATTAAATAATAATTATGACACAATTATTGTTTAAAGTATTAAATAAATTAGTTATAAGCCAACTACTAATTGTAATTAAATGAACATCATTTGACATCTGTTACAAATTAAAATATTTCTTAATTTTTTTAATTCCTTGCTGTTTTTGTTTCAAATATTAAATTTTGTCCAAATTTAAACATAAAATAACTAAAAAAAAAAACAACTGTTTTTACATTTTTTAGTTACTAAATATCTATTTTCATGGAACCTTGTTTTAAATTTTCAATCCTTGGCTATAAAAGTTGAATATTTTAAACATTTTACAACTACAATATTATTTTTCAATTTGATATATTTTCTCAAAATTCAAACTTTAAATGATTATAAAAAAAATTGTGACTGTATTTTTTTTAATAAAGTTATTGTAACAGTATATTAGGAGCTTTGTATTCAATTGGGGGTGCTTAACACATTAACACCCACATATTTTTAATAGCATCATCAAATTTTTACGAACGTTGGGTGTAGCGGCTATAAGGAACATGTGGACAAAATCGTGCTTACATTGGTATTCTTAATGCTTATTGACATAATATTATCTTTGGGGAAACCAAGTTGCTGATTCTCTAAACAGTCTAAAGTAAGGTAGGTACCTTACATTTCCTAAATTTATTCTATACTATCTTCATTATTCTAAATAATTAGATTATTTCACGAATCAAGGTTTAAATTAATTTGAGGTTTATTTTTAGCCCCCCCCCCCCATACGGGCAATTTTGGTCTACTTAAATCCAGCACCCTCATAAAAGTAACCCAAATCGAGCATAAATGTAGTTTTATAATAGTAAATAGTAATAAATAGTTTAAATAAGAAAGTTATAAAGATACTTATACACAGTAGATTTTGGTTATAATATTGGTAAAGCTATTACAATATTATGATATAATCATCATAGACCATATTATAATGTAGTAGGTAAAATAACTGTCAGACATCAGTGGTATTCGCTGTCAACATCATCGGTTTATGCTAACTAGTTTTTGATGATGGACGGGTAAGGTAAGGCAACCAAAGTGTGAACACAATTACACAACTGTAAAAGTTTTTATCCATTAATCAAAGTAAGACATAAAAGAATGTTTCTTATTTATTTGTATCACCACTGATAATGCTTATAATTTTTAACATACTGTTTAAAAATAATGATTACTAATATTATCTATTAAAATTTACAATATTCTCTAATAGATAAAAAAAAATAATTATAATTTTAGTTGACTAAACATATTAGATGACGTAGAATCGTCTGACATCTGCACAATAATAATTGTTCTAAGTACAGTAATACACATTTACACTCGCCAAAGCCGCTATCTAATAAATTACTTAGAAGCCTTTAGGTAAAAACAATTTTTCTTCAATACTATTGCTTACAATACCTATGTTAGTTGAATAACAAAAAATAAATAAGTCTACCCCATAGAGTATAATATAATATATATATATACATTATTACTTTGGTCATGGTTTAGTGAAAACAAATTTCTCAAAACTAACAAAATATTTTTATTTTATTTTTATTACAATTTGTATTGTTAAACCTGTCATTGGTATTATATTAATAGTAAACCACAGATTAAACTAATATTTACAAAATATGATAAAAGAGGCAGGACGATTATGTTGTTTGTCTTAATAATAATAATAATAATATCAATAATAATAATCAATATTGGATAAAAAAAAAAAATTGATTATAAAAAAAACATCCCAAACGTAAAACAAATAATACATTTACTATGTGGTATATTAAGTTGTATAATTTTAATTATTTATGAACAATTACTACACAAACTTCCGTCTAGACATAGAACAATAAGCGAGGGTTTGGAGAAATTATGAGCGGTAAAATAAATAACAAATGCTTACTTCACATAATATTATATTAAGCTAACATCTAACACCTGAAAAAATCATTTAAAAAAGTACTCACAATTATAGAAAAAATATACTGATTACTATGAAAATAATAATTGTTATTGCTAAAAGGCATTCAATAATAATTGATCGTAAAAAAAAAATAAAAAAAATTATGATAATGTTATTATAAACACTATTTTTGTTTGTTAATAATATTTAAATAATAATAATAACTTGATTAAAAAGTTTAAATTAATGACTAAAAGGAATTGATCAGTCAAATTGATGTAAAAGACCATTTTAAAAACTAATTTAGAATCAGACTTGTTAAGGAGGAACGTAAGGTGGGGGCTTGCGATATGATGGAGTTGATGACGGTTTTGACCTGTGATTGGAGCCAACATTTGAGAAAGGTGGTGGTGGAGGCTGATATGGTGAATCTTCTGTATCGGCTAGTAAAGCTGTGGTGGCCATTGGTGGTGATCTTTGATATTCAGGTGGTGGTAAAGGCGGCTTTTCTTCTCTCATGATTATAGGTGTTTTATTTGTGGGCTCAAGTCTTTCATCCAACTCATCCTATTGTACAAAAAAGTATCACAAAATACGTTAATCATCTATCAGATTTTTATTATAGAATCACTAAAAATAAAAATTTGTGTCATTTAGAAAAATAACTGTTCAGTTACTATAAAATAAATATAATGAAAAACCAATTTGAAATTATACATATAAGCAGGATCGGATTAATACTATTTATTTGTTTACTGTTTTTCATTAAAAATTATAAAAGTACTTTTTTGTTAATATACAACAAAATTATTTATAGTTATCCACATATGTTATACTTAACATAATGTAAGGACATTATGAGGGTTATCCGTACTTGGAAAATAACTGGAATACCACGACTTCGGAAACTTTGTCTTTCATCATCACCAATTCTTAACTTTGATGATGGTCTTCGGCGATATAATAAACAAGCCAATAACCCAGCAAACAGCATCATAGCTAAAATTATGATTGCTGGAATAATAAATGTCGAAAAATACTGTTCTGATTTATCGAATAAAAGCAATATATTGTCATCGCGAGGTGTAACATTGTTGGGTGTTTTTGGTGGTCGAACTTCTGTAAATCCACCTTCACACATACCAGAAGGCGTAACGTGTGCTCCAACTACATTAAATGATGGTTTCATATTTTTTGTTACATTTTCCGATAACTTTTCTTCTTCATTCAATAAGATCTAAATGTGAAAAAACATTAAATCATATTTTAAACACCATGATTAGCTTGTTAAAATAAAAATAAATATAATTTTTAGTGACGTCCAAGATATGAAATTTAAGTGTTATAATATCAATGTATAACATCATACTGCAATTTAGCATACTACAATAATTAATAAACAACCGAAAACGAGGACGTCACAACTAACACACGTAAATAGTGTGCCGGCATTATGAAGACAAATATATCAGTATGATTGTCAAATCGACACACTACTTATAGGTATGCTAAGACACTCAGGACATCAATCTCATGGACCTCGATGCACGAGGATTCCAGGAGAAGGCCTTTCTCGTGTGAAGTAGTGTGAATGTTATACAATATATTTATTTATTACTACAGCAGACTCTCGGTAACTTGAACCTTGATAACTCAAAATGCTCGATATGTAGAACAAATAAAATTCCCTTTAAAATAACAATAACACATTAAGATTTTGATAACTCAAATTTCCCCCCTCCACTCCACATGAACTTAGTAACCGAGAGTTGACTGTTGATTGTTATTAAATTCCTTGAGTTGTTATTCTAAATTTTAGAAGGTTTAAAGAATTTACTCCACACAATTTAGTAAAAATAACATACTTGTCTTAGTTGTAGAACTTTCTCTTCATCACACCGATCAATTTCTAATGTTTTATTGTACCATGTCACCATTGTCATACCATTTACTGAGCTGACTCCAAGAACAACAATGTTAGCGGTATTTTTATCGCTAAAAAGATTAGCTACACGTTCAACAAATATTTTTTTAAGTTTAGCTGAATTATTGAATTCTTTGAATTCTGGAGTTTTGAATATCATATCAAATTCAGCTGATGGCAAAGGCTTAGTTGTATTGCGTATAGATACTACTAGACTATCATGATTTGATCTACCCTCTCTATCGGTACAAATCTAAACCACAAAACAAATATATTTTATAAGGTTTTTATCTTAAAACAACTCACGAATAAGTCCAAAATTCAACTTTATAGGTATTATGTTAAAATTGGTCTTAAAACTCAAAATTAAATTTAACTTACAAGTTGATATTCAGAAAAGCTTTTGTCACCCCACAACGGAATGCCATAGAACTCTTGATTTTTAGTGTCAAATTGTAGCCAGCTGTTTGCTGGAACTTGTGTACGATCAATAGTCATTAATGACAATTTCAATCTACGTGAAGAACCATCTTCGGGATCATAAAATGTATCCTAAAAATTAAAATTCAATAGTTTAACAAATAAAAAATGAATACTAAATGCAAAGTAACAAAAATAATATAATGTGTGCAAATACTATGCAAATTATTTAGTACCTCTGGTACGACATAAGATAAAAGCTGCCCATAAGTTGCATTAATAAGATCAACAGGATTGCGCAACACAGGTTGATAATTTTGACTCGAAATAAATGATGTTGAAGCACAATTACCCAATCCTTGCCAACTAACATCTTCCAAAACAACTGAAGAACCAAAATATTTTCCAGATTTCATTTTACTACCTTTTTCTGGTTTTAAAATCTATAATAAATAAATAATTTAAATTATATAAACCATTGGAAAATTAACTATAACAAACATACTCCTAAAATTTTAGTTATTTTTTCCTTAGGACAGACTTCACGCGGCAATGTATCATTGGTCCAGGTAAACTGAATGCTATGTTTATCCTTATTGGCAGCTAAAATAGAGACTCTCGGCCAGTCTAAGACTGTGATGTCTTTAACTTCAGTTGAGTAAATTGTACTAATTCTGTCAATGATATCCAAGCTCCAACTAACTGGATGAATCCAAGCTAATGAGTCTTGTTTTAAGCGCATTTGTAGTGTTAACTGATGATTAATGGCACGTAAGTGAGGTAACTGTTGGACTACCAGTTCTAATGTATTGTTAACAGTGAGGTTCCCAGAATCTTTTGCTTCAATTACCACTTCCCATTTTGATACATGATCCTCCAAAGGTCTAAACAGTTTAAGTATAAAAAAATAGTACATAATAAATTTCAATATTTTTTTTAGCAACATACAAAGCAAGTAAGATTTGTTTTTCAGCATCAAACTCGACCCATGATAATAGAGCCGGATCGGTGTTCAACAGGGCTAATTTTAAGTGTTTTGCATCTCCATCTTCAGCATCATAGAATATATTGTTGGGAATGGGATACCTGACATCATAATTAAGATTTAAAATATGTGATAAGACTTTTTGTATAAACTTCTTACTTTAATGGTTTGCCAGCAGTAATAGCAAGTTTAGGTAACCTATGTTTAATAATTGGTGAAGTGTTAGGATTTTCCCTATTTGTTGTGGTTATAGTAGTTGAAGTACTAACAGAATTCTCATTAATTAGATCCTTTATCTTGTCTGTCACCAGATTAGGAGTTTCAGTAGATATATTATCATCTGGTATACTTGTTACATCATACGAATCACCCATACCTACAGATTCCTACAATTAAAATTATTTTAAAGATTGATTGACAATGATGTATAAAACAATTGTATATGTAACATACAGATAATTCTTGGGTAGTAGGAGTGGAAGACCTTTCCTCGTAGAATGAAGGTGTTGGTTGAATGTTTTCAAAAGGTCCAGTAGCTCCACTTAAATCAAGAGTAGGAGATAATTTCATATTCTAAAATTCAATATATATAAAAAAAATGTAAATTAAATTCAGTAAAAAGCAAGTGTATTTGAATTATTTACTTGAACAGGGGTAGAGTCAATAATGTCTCTTGGGATATTCAGTACAGATTCATCTCTACGATGATGTCTATGATAATGGTCAGAGTCATAAATATGAGGTATATATACTGGAGATGGTTCAATAATTGTTTGTCTAGTATCAGGAATAATTTCTTCTTCTTCATCATCATCATCATTATCGGGTGGAGTATTAAGATTTCTGGTCAAACTATCATCATTGTCATCTAATTCGGAGGTGTTTGCCGAATTTGCGGCTTGTTTTGCACCTTTCATCACCACCTAAATAAATATAATCAAATATAATCTCAGTACCATTCAAATAGAAATAAATATTACCTGACGACGGCCTCGTAAAGGGTTTAATGAATTTACCAGTCTCCAACTGGTGACTGGTAACTGCAATACCTCAGACAATGTTCCATCAACTGTATTACTCTGCATTTGCCGTACATGATCAATATGTTCTTGTAAAATATCACCTCCACAGCCAACCTTAAAGCCATTGGTATTATTTTTAGTACATTTTGCTTATTATGCTATAACATAAAACTGCATACTATAATTTCTTACCTCCCAAAGGACAAACGATGTATCATTAAATTGATGTTTTTTGTGGGATTGGCGTTCAGATACTAAATAGTCGATTAACCAAGAAGATACACTTTCTTGAGGCACTAATAACACAGCATCCTAAGAAAATTGAATTAGTAACAATTAAACATTTGAACAAAGTTATTCTTACTTGAGGAAGACTCAAAAATCCTGCCAAATTTTTCAGTGCAATAAGCCTTTGTAAAGGTTGTATGCTCTTAAAATTCATACCAATAACAAGGCATAGCAAAATAGAATCTTCAGTATTTTTACATCGTTTCTGTAAAAACATTTAAGCATAATTTAGTACGTTTATTATTTATGGTAAAATGTATAATATCGTACTAACATTATTTCGAACATTTTTCCATTTTAAGGGCGCAACTCTGATATAAGCTACATCAGAAATCATTAGACGACTTTTGTCTCCAGCTCTCACCAACAAATGATCACGAACATCTTCAGGTCCAGGTATTCCTTCAAGCTCACCCTTACCTTGAACTAGCCAACTTGGAAGACCACCACCGTCTTGACCCAAAAACTACGCAAAAAAAAAAAAAAAAAATATTTTTGATATACCTAATAGGTATTAGTTTTTAATATATTATAAATTGTTTATTACAATAATTTAAAATAAAAAAAAAAGATAATTTTTTGTAATTAAGTAAGTAACTGGTAGGTAGTTCTATAATTTTCAATAACAAACATGAAACTTAACTTCAATAATAAATTCATATTTTTTTAATAGGTACAATCCTACTTATTAGGTAATATTATTATTTATTACAATTTGGTTAGTTAAAATATTCTAAATACATTTCTTCCTCGTATTAAAATATTAAAATGTTACTGTGGTAGATATATCAGTTTTTTATATTGATTGATAATTAAGAAGTTCAAATGTGACAACAAATAATCAAAAGCACTTCAATGCTTAAAATTCCCCAAAATATATTTTATAATAGTATGTTGTAAATAGTTTGGTGTAGATGTCATAAAATAATTCATCACATTAATATAGAATTAAATTTGTCATGTGTTCTTTCAAACAAATTGTATGCACAAATAAATAAATAAATAGTTTATATTAAATGATAAAGCATAATTATTTCAGAATTAACGAATGAACAATGAATTAACAATTATTCGGTGTCATATGTTATCAACATTTAAACAAATAATAATTTTGTAAGTTTGTTAAGTGTAAGCTGATGCTTTATAGTATATAACATTATAAAATCATAAAATAAGTATGATAACCTAGATTTAATAATTTGTAATTTCTGAGAATATTGTAACAAGCATACAAAATATTTAAATAATTTTTTTATAGGTAGTATAGACATGTATAATAATATAAAAGAAAATATATTTGAGCTAATAAAACAGATCAAACAGGACACATAATTAATCTTGGTACATAATTTATATATTTGTTCAATTAAAAATGCATTGATTAGTACTAATGTTTGATAGTTAGACAAATTAAAATCTGTTGAATATTGGGACAGTGATCTAATAGAAAGTTGTTAAGTATATTGAAAAAGATAAAAAAAACTGATATTATTTGAGAACAATTTTAATTTAATTCATATTATAATTATCAAGTAATTGTAATATAGTTAACTATCTACATTTCAAAAATATGGTTCGTTCATTCTATAAGGTACATAGAATATAAAGATTATTTTTTAATAGAATTTTTCTATGAAACAATGATTTATAATTTACCTAAATAAGAATTTTTGTATTTTTCACCGTAGTAAAAAAAATATAATTAGGTAGGTACTTAATGTCATTCCAGGGTTGCATTTGGGCATCCCACAAATTTTAGACGAAAACTATCTAGCGTTTAAATATACTCTTTAATAGCTTTCTAAATTACAGGGATATCTAGAAAACAAAAGTTAGGTACAAAACAAGTTCCTAAATATATTGTACCTATACCTAATATAAATTTTCTTTCAACAATTTTGGGACAATTTAATAGACGTATTGTCCGAGTCAAATCAATACAATATTATACGGCTAAGTAAAACAGACTTACGTCAATGGGACCGGTGTTGTCGACAACCGAGTCATGAGGAATTTTGAAGTAAAATAACTTGCCAACAGTGGCCACGGGTTCCGGAATACTCCACCATTTGTGTTTGACGTCGGCGGACTTGTGCGCGGACGCCAGACACAATAGAAACACAATGGCAACTAGACTCTTCATTTGGACACTAGAGCCAAACATACAACGTCGGTCAGATTAATGAAAGTAAAAAACATGTTACATGGCAAGACAAAAAAAAGCAACGGGTCGGCCAGTTGTGTGCGTGGGCAGTCGGCGGCGGGCGCGACAGATGGTCCGACGGGGCACTGGCCCGTGGGTGGGTGGGGGGACGTGAAAAATCTCACCGCACACCCACACGGGGGCGCAAACAACTGGCCGTCGTGGTACCCTCCGATGGGATTCAGGGCGTCCGGCCGGCCGGTCAGTGGTTCGGAGGGCGTCCTGGACCCGGGAACGGTTGAAATCACACCGTCGCGTCGTTACTTACTATCTCCGTGCGATATTTTTTGAACACAAAATCGTGTGCCGCCGAATAGGTGTCGGAGTCGGCCTAATGTGTGGCGGCTGATGTCCTGCAGGTCTATTTTCTCTCCGCGGTCACGATTCTAATGGAATGATAAAATTTATTAACTCACGACAGCAATAACATAATAATAATTAATGGCAATAATGATATTGATAATAATGATAATAATATGACGTACAAAATAAGCGTAAACGGACACCGTGGCTGACGACTGTGCGTTCGCCGTGTGTGCAGTCACTGCAGCGCCGCAGCGGAATACCAGTACGGACCGTGTAATAAATTGTAGCCTGTACGGTTGTCTGTTATGAGGAGGTGGCAGTGAGGAAGGCGACGGTGAATTTGTGTGTGGGAAGATGCGAGTGGGGAAGACTCAAAGACTGATTTAGTATTTACCATAATATAACATCATCAGCTCCAAAGTCTCGGACGATGATAATAATAATATTAATATTACCACCTCCATGATAAAATTGTATCATGGTCATGACCACATCAGCATTGCTGTCAGACATCAATTATTATTCAGTCAGTGTTCTTCCCGTCCGTTAGCCGTCGAATACCACCTACATCGCCGACCAAGGCTCCTAGATGGCGCGTGACATACCGAAAATCGTAATACACTTTTAGTACGCGTTTTGGATTTCTCAAATCCTTTAATTGGCGATTGAAATTGATAAGACGTGACGGGGACGCCGTGTATCATTTATATGTTATTTTACATGTTCCCCGTTACAGATCCACCCCCCGCCGGCCTGTTAATTGATAAGCTTTCAATCGCCAATAGGAATTACACCAAATTACCAAAAGGCAAAAACCAAAATCGATTTTGTCGAAAACCGATTTTGCGTAAAGATTCCAGTTTCCTTAATTTTTATGTTGCTTTTCTCGGTGCTTTTGAACCCTAATGGGAATATGCAGGGGTGGATAGGAACATAAGAAAAAGGGATTTTTCCCTGTGGGCCCCCGTGGCCCATCTATGTTTATGTTGGGGGGCCCACTCGGGTCTACACATTGTTTTTTTGCAGAATAAAATATTCACCAAATAGGAATAGTTTAAATTTAAAAGTATTGATTTTTTTTATATAAATTATTATTACTTACTGTTATTTTTCGATTTAGTCAAAAAAACACCAACCCGACTCCAACGTTAAGTACAAGACGACAATAACTAACAAGTGATATGGACACGAATTAAAATTGGCCACACAATTAATATAACCCACGTCCACCTAATGAGAAGAGAACCGAGACCAACGTGCGAACTCTGCAACAACTCACTTAGGTATATCCATAAAACACCTCCTTCTAGAATGCCCAAATCTAACCGAAGAATGAACATTTTTTCCACATCTAACATTAAAAGATATTTTAAGTATACACAATTTTAACTGTTAAATAACATTCCTTAAAATAACCAATCTATATAATAAAATTTAAATAGTTACTAAAACTATGTATTATTACTACTTACACTATCAATTATCATTACCATTTCTGTTACTGTATTAGGTACCTTTATTTAAATATTATGATGATTGTAAATAACATGTAAATATGTTTTTGTGCCCGGCTAATGACTATAATGTTGAAGCCGTAATAAATGAATTTAAAAAAAAAAAACTGAAAAATATATGTATAATCCTAAAGTCATTATTTCATTTTTTTCACAGAATTTTTACTAACCCTTGGCGTCATTGTTTTCCGTTTATTAACGATCGACGCGATAACATTGCTGGAGCTTGCAAGTTGCAGGGTGTGCGTTCCTATATATAATATTATATATTTATATAGGTACTCCTCTACTATCATTTCATCGGAAGTACCGCGTGAATATACTGGGTGATTCACAACAAAGTTTATTTAGGTACCTACCTAATTTTTTTCATTTTTTTTAAACATTGATTTTTGAAATTTTTCACCTACTTATATGGACTATATTTTCAAATAGCTATAGTCTGTACCTACCGACTGTGGTTATAGAAACTAATCAAATCACATCCAACCTGTAAATATTATGAAGCCGATGATTTCCTTGAACATTTTAATACACTCTATACCTATCCAAATTTAAATTTGAACGAGTGGTTTTTGAATTATTTATAACTTCGAGTGCACTAAGGTCGAAGGATAATAGGTACATTATGATGATAATAGGTTTGAAGATATGATTTGAAAATTATGGTAATTATTAATTATCTATCAACATTTATATATTTACAAAATGATCCGAGTATAATAATAATGGTAGGTACTAAATTCAAAAACCACCATGTATTTTTTAATTTTATAGTCACGTAAGTCCATTTTTAAAGAACTATATAATATCATTTTAATCCATAGGTACAGTTTAATAAAGGTACGATTTAAAAAAGGTTAGTTATCACTTATCACTATTAATCATTTAAAATAAATAAGTTTGTGTGTTGCTATTTTCCTTAAATGGTGTTAAAATCGATGTATTTGAAAATAAGTTCCTTAACTAGAACTTAACTCATAAGTATATTTCAATTTTTAAAATTTCAAAAAACAAATACTTTAGAAATATTAATTTTGAAAGGAAAATAAACGGGCAAGTTGGTGTGGATCTGCTATACAGTATAAGTTACAAATGGGCCAAATAAATCATTGTATAGCCGTATAGGTACGAAAAATGAAGACGGTCTATGGACTATGAATTATGATATTATATAAAGTATTTTAATATATTTTATTAAGTAGGTACAGAGGCGTACTGGGGGGGGGTCCAGCCCAATGGGAGTAGGTACAGGCATTGATTATATAATCAATGGTACAGGGTTCCCGGCCCAAATAGTGGTGGAATCGTGTCTTCCCACTTTGCCCACAGTGGCGTATTTTCAATTTTTTGTGGGGGGGGTCTAAATATTAGGTACCCTACAAGTTTATAATATAAAAAAAACACATACGAGTTATGATGTAATAATTATATTATATTATATTTTTTTCTGGGGGGGGGGTCGAGACCCGGGACCCCCCCCGTAAATACGCCACTGTTTGCCCAAACCCAATTTTGCCGAATCCTTCGCCGACATAATAATATACTAAATAAATTGTCAGTATGTGGGTATTATTATTAAAAGTAATTATAAAAAAAAAAAATATACATTATAATATTATTATACCACGATTAGCTAATTCAACTCCATGTGTTGGGTGATTGTGGGTTTTCGATAATATACTACATCAGTATTTTCTTCAAAATAGCATGACCTCCGCAATTTTGTATGCATTTATAATATTCGGTTGTCCATAATTTGTGTCTCCTATTTTATCCACTCGATGAATAAAGTTATTTACTACTTATAAATCGTGATCTTTTTCAGATTTTATTTAAAATCTGCATATTGGATCGAATTTAATTTTTAAAAAGCACTTTCCAACTTTCTATTAAATTACGAACTTCACAGGAAAATAAAAACATCTGGAATAGTGGAATGAATTAATTCACCAATCTATATTCCCATGGATTAGATGTGTGCGGAAAAAATCTTATCGTTGAACTTATCGACAACATATAGGTACTATAATAATATAATCGCTGTAATATCTGTCTTCGATAAAAAATTTTTATTTTTTATTTTTTATTTTTGTGTCTGTCATCACCTTTTAAGACAGTAAAATGCTTAGATTTTCTTCAGCAGTATCTTTTCTGATAGGAAAGTGAATATAGTTGGTACTTTGGGGGGGTCAAAAGTAAAAAATACTTAGTAATATCATAGGCTACAATGCTGCATGAATCGTTTTTCTTATACAATGATATTATATCATTGAATTCAAATTAACACCATCCATTACAGTGACCCACTTGTAATTTACTGTACAGCAGAGCGACACCCACTTGCGACTTGCCCACCTTTTTAAAATTTTTTTTTGTGTCTGTCTGATAGGAAAGTAAATCGGGTTTGTACTTTGGGTGGTCAAAAGTAAAAACTTTCCAGTAGTTTTCAAAAGTACACTGAAAAACAAAAGAAAAATTAAGGAAAAACGGGAATTCTTACGCAAAATCTGTTTTTGAGAAAATCGATTTTGGTTTTTGGTGCAACTCTAAAACAAATGAACGTGGATTTTTGACTGAATATTTATATTAGCATTTTCTATAGATACACGCCGTACCCCACAAAATTTCCAATATTTTGACTTATTTTGAACTGCTTACGGACATTTTTATAGTTTCCATTTTTCTATAAATATCAATAACATTTTATTTGTTTGTTAAAAAAGCTTGAACATTTAATAGAAAGGTAATAGTATATTGTTTCAAAGGCAGATGAAAAAAATTCAAAATCCATAGTCACAATTTCATTTTTTATGCATTTTTATGGCATAGTTCAAATATTGACAAAATACGTAAAATGACATTAATTTGCAAATTATTTTGAGTTAGAAACAAAAAAAAAATTTCTTTTTAAATCTAAGAATTTAAAATGTAATACAAGATTCCTCATAAATTTAGCTACCTTTATTAAAAAAAAATGTGCAAGAAAGTCAAATTAAATTTTTATGAGCGTTTGAAATTAATATTTTTACAACATTTAATATTCACTCGATTTCTCATGTAACGATTTTCTTATTTTGTTAAAATTACAAAACGAATGATTATAGATACTTGGAAATT